ACTTTTATACAACTTATATAACAGTTGGTAAACAGCTGGTTAACTCTTCATAATAATTATGTAATGATTAGTTGTCTAAACTTTGATTAAAAAATTAAAATTAAAAAATTAAAATTAAAATTAAATAATTGAATGATAATGGCATAACCTTATAAATGTCAACGTTTAAAATTTTTCATTATTTTTTTGTTAGTTGTGGTTAACATTAAAGTGGAAGAACATTTAACAGAATATGAAGATTTTTTAGAATTAGTTGAAATTGTTATTTTTCTAGAAAACAGAAAATTTCGTGTTAGATATGAGTATTTTACAGATTTAAACGAAAAAAACTACAAAAACAGATTTCGTCTTCCTTAAAAAATATAACTTTTAGAAATAAATAATAAGCCATAATAATATAATAATAATAAGCAGGGGCGTGCTGGCTATAACAGACCGGCCCGGGAAATTCAGAAAAATCGGCCAACTACACACGAAAAATGGGGGGTGAACAAAACGAAGTTAAAAAATTTCAAACATTTATTAATAATTAAAATATAAAGTATAAATTAAATTCTTGAAAAACAAACAGGCAACAAACACAACCAGACAATATTTTACACAATGCTAAAACATATAGCATTGCACTTAAAATAAAAACTAATACAAATTATCATCGCTCAGGAAACTTATAAACAATATACAATCTCAAAAAAAGAAACAAAGCTGACAGGCTGGCATGCATGGTATGTGTAAAATAATTATGATATTTATACATAACTCAACTAAAAAAGTTTTTAATTGACCACGTGCTGCGGCATGCTGCCTACATAGCCCTCCGGCACACCGGCCCAATTAGCCCTCCGGACCACCGGCCCACCGGGATTTCTCCCGGTGTCCCGGCGGCCCAGCACGTCCCTGATAATAAGCCATAATTTCTTTAAGAACTAATACAAAATAAGCGCTTTCTTTTAGGTAAATGATTAAATTAATTTTTGGCAACGGTTTCATTTTGCATTCTACAATGTTTTTTTTTATTTTTGAACTATACAAAGCAAAAGCCAATATTCTTTATTACCAAAATTAGCGATTAGCGACCCACAAGCCAAACCCATTTATTTGTATAATTTGTTAAAAATATTAAAAACCATAACCAAAAACACAAACTTAATACAAAACTCACCTGCAACAATAAATATAATTAAAGCTTTTTAAGTATATTTACAAACCATGAAAATTATTATGCAGAAATAGTGCATGCCAATATATCTGACCACTCAGCTCAAATAATTACAGTCAAGGAACCAAAAATTAAGCAAAAACAACATGTATTAAGGAGAATATTTAACCTTGAAAATAAATTAAAATTTCAACTCAATCTTTTAAATGAAGACTGGGTAAGAGTTTATAAGGTACCAATAAATGATGTGAATAAGCAATGGGAGGTGTTTATGAATACAATATTGCCTATTTTTTATTAAACTTTCCCTTTAAAACCAGTAACTCAAAAGAAAACATTTAAACAATACTATAATAGTGAAGAAATAAAAATGTGTAAAAACAAATTAGATATTCTCCTTGTAATGAGCTCAGTGGATCAGAGATATGCAGAAGCATATAAATTAGTTAAAAAGAAATATAACAACTTACTGACCTTATCCAGAAAAAAATACTACGAAAATAAAATTAAACATGCCCAAAATAAGTCAAAAACAACATGGCATATAATTAAAGAACTTAAAGGAAAAGAGAAAGGTAGTGAGATTAAAGTTCCAGGGGATATGAAAGAGGTCGTTAATGATTTTAATGATTTTATTGTCAATGCGGCTCCCAGGTTGGTTTCGAACCTGCCGCAAGAGCAGTTTTCCTGTAGAATTGAAATGAACGGAAGATCATTTTATGTTGAACCCCTGAGTATGAATAATGTTGTGAATATTATTCATAAACTTAAAAACAAGTCATCAAGCGGGTATGATGAAATACCAGCAACGGTTATAAGGTTTTGTGTGTATGAACTGTCAGAAATTTTGTGTTACCTTATTAATAATTCTTTTAATAACGGAATTTTTCCAGATATACTTAAAGTTGCAGTTGTTAGACCGTTGTACAAGAAGGGTGATCCCACATCTGTTGAGAATTATAGACCCATTAGCTTGCTGCCTACATTCTCAAAGATTTTGGAGGCGACAATGTGTGAAAGGCTCGTGGGGTTTTTTAATGGGTGCTCTTTGTTTAGCCGGGCCCAGCATGGTTTTCTGAGGGGTAGATCGATTGAGACTGCAGTGTTCGATTTTCTTTAATAAAATAAAATGCTTTCATTCGGGATTTTTCTAGACTTGTCTAAAGCTTATGACACCTTAGATCACGACATATTAATAAGCAAATTGTACAACTATGGTGTACCACTGCAGTGGTTTCGATCTTACCTCTCGGGAAGATGTCAAAAGGTTGTTGCTGAGAGGGATTGACAAGTGTTTAGTTCCTCATGTCAATATTTTAAGACAGGTATACCACAGGGCAGCATTGCTGGACCTCTGTTATTTATTATATATATAAATGATTTAGGGGACTGCTTGGTGAATAATTCAGATTTTTTAATAAACTATGCTGATGACAGCAATGTCATTACAGAGAGCAAAACCTTTGAGGGTCTGATGGATAGCGCAGGGGTGGTGTTGCGCGGTCTTGTACAATGGTTTAACAAAAATAAACTGGTATTAAATTCAGACAAATCTAATTTTGTTATTTTTTAGAACAAACAATACTAAAGTAAATGTACCTGAACAAACTGTGCTAAACAATGAACTTGTGTCCTTAGTAAAAGATACAAAGTTTTTAGGTATCTATATAGATGAGAATTTGGACTGGAAAAAACATGTTCAACATATCTGTGACAAGTTAAACAACTTTTTGTATAGTTTTAGAGTGTTATATCAATACCTTAACCTCGACATTAGTGAAGGGACTATTCGAATACAAATAATCGAAGTATTCGATTCTGGCGTGCATTCGAATGCATGCGATTCTCAACAAACTATTCCAATACTTCGAATCTTTCGAATCGAATCGAAAGCGCTTGCGTGTCACCGAGCGGAAGGTGGGAGACGAGAGAAATGAATGCATTCGAATTTAAGCCAAAGTTTATTTTTTGTATCGCATGGAGAATCGTCGAACGCGACAATATTGCATTATATGTTGAATGTATTAAAAGAAGTATTATTATTATTAATTTAATTAACTATGCTTAAAGTAAGTACTTACTTATATATTTTTACTACTTACTTATATATTTTTTGGATCGTTTTTTATTAAAAACAAATTCATGGACATGGACTGGGTAGAAATAGGTCAAATCACTATTAATAAATAATAAAATTAAAACACATAAAAAGTAAATCATGCTTAACCAGTAACTAAAAAAATATATAAAAAGTAACTGAAAAAATATATAAAAAACAAGTAACAAACTAAGTAGGTAACTAATAATTATTATAAAAAACGTTTTTTAAAATAAAATAAATTAAAAATAATATAGTTTATGCACGATGACATTATAATACGACAATTATAACAAAAATTCTTTGACGTAAACGTCTTTTTATAGCCCGCGGGCGTTATTATGACCCAGCGGGCTATAATGAAACGTCAAAAATTAAAAACAACAATGTTACACCATTTGATATATTCGAAGTAAGTTTTTTCGTATAAAGATTTTGATTTTTCCGGCAGCAGGCCGCAATTTTTTGCCTTTTCAGCTGCTTCCTCAATTTCATTCATCTTTAAACTTTAAAACTGACTGATGTCAGTTGACATTATAATATGACAATTATAACAAAAATTCTTTGACGTAAACGTCTTTAAAAACAATATTATATTAAAAATAATAATATATTAATCGTGCATAAAGTTTTGTATGCATTGCTGGCATAACTGGTTTTTATGGTCCTACGACGCTTTTCTAGCCCTCGCGCTAACGCGCTCGGGCTCGAAATAGCGCCTCGGACCATAAAAACCTTATTATGCCCTTAATACATAAATAACTATTATGTTTTATGTCAAAAATAAAGAAAGCATGTCATAAATCAATTAGTAGGTATTTCAGCCGGTTTAGAATTTATATTGCACCCAGTGCGAAACCAACCCGCTCAGCCCATAACGAATTGTAAACAAGAAATAAAATGACCAATCGAATACAGAGAATCTAAAAGCACGCAAAGTTGAGTTGGCAAAATGTTAATTTTCTTATTTAGGTAGGTATTTGTTTTTTATATAGTTTTTGTTTATGTTTTTAGGGTGGCAATATTTTTTCGGCATTTTTTTTAATTTCGGAGCTCACATGAAACAATTTAAGTTTAAAGTATTCAAGTTTCAACTCAAAAAAAAATAAACGTCGCTCAAAAAAATCAACTAAATTGGAAAAATAGTAGTGGTTACAAGATCAAAATTATTAAAAAAATCAAGAAATGTATTTCAAAAATATTGAGCGACCAATAATATTTTGACTTAAAAATGTATTATGTTCCTATACGACCTACAAAAAAAATAGTGAGAATTCTCTGGCTTAAGCCAAAGATTTTGAGAAAAAAGGTTGGTTTAAAAAAGTTTTGAGCGACGTCTAAAATTTTTTTATCTGTTGAAACTGAAATACTTTAAACTTATTTTTTTTTATTTGATCTCCAAAATCAAAAAAATTTCGAAAAAATACTACAACCCTAATGTTTATGGTTAAATAAAATCCTTTTGTTAAGAAGTGACATTTCTTTGAATTTATTATATAGGTAAAATTTTAATTAGACCCGGGGCGCAAATTGTTATAATCCGGCGCTGGGCAGTCCAAATGTTCGGTAGGAACAAACCTATTAATTTTTATATTATTTAGCACCTGGTCATATTGTCAGGCCCAGCATACTTTTCACACGACCCTCGTAAATTATGGATATTGCACATTTGAACCAATGAGACTTTTTTAAATTGAATGCGCATGTACTGAGATGCGCGCAAGATAATAAATAATCATAAGTGCGCGCCGCTAATGTCAAATGTTGGCAATTAATTATTATGCATTTAAATAAACTATTGTAAAACGTGTAAATATTAATAAGGATAACCATAGGTAATTGAAATGAATAAAATGACTGCGGCAACTGCCGCAGGGTCATCGGGTACCCAGGTAATTAATTTTAAAATAAATTAACCTAAATTTTCCTACAATATTGTATATTTTTAAAGGGTACAACTGTGCAAGAATTTACTATAAGAGTACCAAAAAATGGATCCAAAAGATATCACGTTATGAGGTTCAATGGTACATTGGATGTAGAATTTTCAAAGTGGACTCAGGTAAAAATGGAAAGAGAAAACAACATGAAAGAATTTAAGGGATTCGATGAGGATCAACCAAAGTAGGTAATACAAATTATATTAATTAGACTGTTACATTTATGTAAATTTAAGATTTGGTGCTGGATCTGAGTTTGGAAGAGAAGCTAAAGAAGAAGCAAGGAGAAAGAAACTTGGTATTATAGCTAGAAAGTATAAAGCTGATGATCAGCCTTGGATACTAAAATCATATGGAAGTACTGTAAAAAAGTTTAAGGGTATAAGAGAAGGAGGAGTCTCAGAAAATACTGCCTATTATGTTTTTACCCATGCCGAAGATGGTGCTATAGAAGCATTTCCATTGCATGAATGGTAAGGAAAGGGTGTTTTGCTTTTATTTTTATTAATTAAACTAAATTAGGTATAAATTTCAACCAATTCAGAGATATAAAGCCCTGTCAGCCGAGGAGGCTGAAGAAGAATTTACTAAACGTAACAAGCATTTGAATTTCTTCTCTCTTATGTTGAGAAAAAGACTAAAGGGTGAAGATGAAGCTGATGTTGATGATGGGGAAGAAAAAACCAAGAAAGGAAACACCAAAAAAGAAAAAGGTATATTTATTTTCTTAATTTGTTGTGCATGTTTTTGAAACAATTATACTAAATTTTAGAACTTAAAATATCTGAAATGGATGAATGGATGGAGACTTCTGATGAAGATTCAGAGGGCGAAGAGAAGGAAAAAGAAGAGGACGAGGATGGAGACAAGAAAAAAAAGAACAAAAAGAAAGTTGATCCAAAAAAGAATAAAAAGAAGAGAGACACAGATGTGGAGGCTTTTGAGGACTCTGATGACGGTGACGGAGAAGGTCGCGAATTGGATTACATCAGTGACAGTAGTGAGAGCGAACCGGAGAATACAAATCTGGAAAGTGTGGCGGAAGAGAAGGCTCTTAGAAAACTTTTAACTTCCGATGAAGGGTCTGATGATGATTCAGACAAGTCTGAAAAAGGGAAAAGCAGCGAGGATGAGGAGAAAGAGAAAGAAGCAGAGAAAAAAGAAGAGAAAGAAAAAGAGGGCGAAGGAAAGAAAAAAAAGAAGAAACTCAAGAAGGACAAGAAGATTGTTAAGAAAGAAATTAGGAAGGATGATGATGATCCATTTAGTTCTGATAGTAGTACTGATGAGGATACTAAGAAGAAGGGTGGAAAGAAAGAGAAGAAGGAAGATAAGGAACCGGGAAGGTAGTTTTTGTATTAGAAATAAATAAATTGTTATATTTTTTTTAACTTTTTAGTGCAAATAGTTCCAGATCAGCTACACCAACAGATAGCAAAAGGAAATTGATTCAAGATACACTTGCTGGTCCTTCTTCAAAGAAACAAAAACTAGATCTGCCCAATTATATACCAGGCTCCAGGTACTCTTTTCTAATATGTTTTAAAAATATTTAATTTTCATTTTTATAAATTTTAGTGAATCTGGTATTACTGAAGATGCAGTAAGGAAGTATCTTATGCGTAAGCCAATGACAACAACTGAGTTACTGCAGAAGTTTAAGTCTAAGAAAACAGGTTTATCCAGTGAACAGCTTGTAAATATTATGACACAAATATTAAAGAAGATCAATCCTGTTAAGCAGACTCTTAAGGGAAAAATGTATTTATCCATCAAATCTTAATTTGTTAAGTTATTTCTATAACTAGGCTGGTAATAAAAGTAATATTATATATCTTATATATCTGAATATTTTATTTTTTGGCACATTGAGAGTAAAACGTAGCAAGCTAACGAAAATTCAACACAGAAGTTACCCATCTAAAAAAATTGATGAGTGGAGACAACATTTTTAAAACTTCAAATGTCTAATATTTTTAAAATCTTGGAACATGGATAATTACCTTTTATTATTTGTAAAGGAAGTTGCACATCTAAGAAAATCAATGAGTAGTGACAACATTTTCAAAACTTCAAGAATTCAAAAATTTTTCAAAATATTGAAGATTTCATGCTTTTCAAGAAATCGTAGGCACATTGTACCTAAATTAACCCCCATTAACAAATAATTCCACTTCTTTTATCAATCGGGCCTTGGTGAGGTCCAATTGGGAATCTCCGCGATGGAAACCTCGACGTCATCGCTATTTTCTATTCTATACGAAAAATTTTTCCCATTCGCGTTTAATTTTTATGACCGCATTTTGTCTTTTGAAGCCGTTGTACCACCTGTGAAACCTGAGAGTTTTGTACATATTTTGCATTTTGAATGCCATATTAAATAGTACATTATCTAACAGGCGGAGAAATTTCGCTTAAGCGCTTATTTATAGCAGAGATCAGTGATCTGAGCGAGACAGTTAGTAAGCTTTCTCCGCCGTATCGCATATACTATTTTTTTAAGCGTTTAATAATTCTGATTTACATTAGTAGTATCGAGTTTGTTTCAGGTTTGACGTTTGAAATATGTTATTTTATAGCCCTATTAAAAATGCCCTATAGAACCCATATTAATCCTAAATGTCCTAAATGGCACGACCTGGTTTACACTTTGGAATCTATGTGGTTTAATATGGAATTTCATTTTAAAATGTACAACTTAGGGATTTTTATGGTTTCTGTTTTATGTGTCTTTCCATATAGGTTTCCCTATATGCTTGAATATGGAATTCCATATTATGATAGTAAACTGGTGGACACATATCTGGAAAGTGTGGCGAAAGGGAAGACTTTTAGTAAACCTTTTACTTCTGAGGAAGGGTCTCATGATTCAGGCAAGTCTGGAAAAGGCAGCGAGGATAAAAAGAAAGACAAAGAAGCAGAGAAATTCGAGGGTGAAGAAAAGAAACTTAAGAAAGAGATTAGTATAGATGATGATTCGTTTAGTTCTGATAGTAGTACTGATGGGAATGTTAAGAAGAAGGGCAGAAAGAAAGTGAAGGATGATAAGAAACCAGAAAGGTAGTTTTTTGTAAGTATTGGAAATAATTTAATTTTAATTTATACTTGAACTTTTTAGTGAAAATAGTTTCACACCAGGTACACAATTGCTGCTCCTTTAAAGAAACAAAAGCTGGATTTGTCTAATTAAATACCAGGCTCCAGGTACTATTTTACAATAATTATAAAATTTCTACATTTACATTAAGTAATTGTAGTGATTCTGATACCAGTAATACATATTACTGAAGCAGTAGTATCTTATGTGTGAGCTAATGACAACAACATATTACTGCAAAAGTTTAAGAAAATAGGTTACCCAGATAGCACAAAGAAGTACTAAAAACGTCCTGAGTATATCTTGTATCAGAAATTAGTAAGTTCCGAGTACGTCGGAATCAGGTCCTGAACCTTCCCCAGGACGTTGCAGGGACATCCGATGTTACCAAATCGTCGGTCCCCAAAACGTCCTAATTAAGACATCCTCTGGCCATCCTGAAATGCTTTATTGGGGACTAATGGACAAGCTTTACAGAATTGAAGAGTGGTATTCCCAGACAGCAATATGACGTCTTAATAGACCTATCCCATAAAACAGACTTTTGGATAGCGCGTGCCTGAAGAAGAGTGGTATCTCTTTCTCTTTTATATAATTAAAAAAAGACGACGTGCCTTTTCACGCACGCGCTATCCAAAAGTCCGTTTTATGGGATAGGTCTATTAAGTCTTATTTTATTAATTTGTTAAATGGATTTTATTAAAATAATTGAGTCGTATAGATTCAAAACCCGCCAAATCCATTTATTGAAAGTAAAGGACAGAAGACATGTTTCCATAACAACATAATTAATATGTATTGCAAACATATCTACTGTCATTTACTTTCAATAAATGGATTTGGCGGGTTTTGAATCTATACGACTCAATTTTAATAATTTGCTCGTATTCGCTTAATTTAGGAATTGCGATTACTTCGTCTCACTATTGTTTAAATTTAAGCGTGCTCTTCACCGGCACCGATAGAGTCAGTTTCGGGTAGCCGTTTACCTAGGTCTAAGACCGTTTGGTATGAAGCACGCTCTAAATTCTACTTCGCCGCTTCTTATATCAAACACAAACAGTTACAGCAGTGAGAAGAAATAATCGCATTAAAATGTCATAAATGTGACGTCTCCATGTTGACGTCTTAAAGAGTTAATAATATGATTTCAGTAAGAAGTAAGAAGTAAGAAAAGATAATACTATAAGATATCATATGATATATAACTAAAGTCTTATTTATGATACCTACCCTTATAAGCTACTATAGTAGCTTCTAATTTTGATTTCAATAAGAGATCAGAAAAAAAGATACTTTAAGATGTTAAAAAATTTACTTCTTATTTATGAATTCATCAAGAACTCTTAATCTTGAGCTCCTAAAAATGATTTCTCTAAGATGTCATATTGTGACCTTAGTAAGATGTTTTTCAACAGACAACAGACAAAAATCTTTCTGAATTGGATGCTGTCTGGGGGGTCTAAGTTACAAAAATAAAATTGTGAGTTATCAATGAAAAACAAATATTTTGCACATGTAAATGTTGAAATGTCTGAAACACGTTTGGAATTGCATATTCCGCTCTCCTGAAACCGCCAAACTCGCCTTCGGCTCGTGTGACAAACTCTTCACTCGAGCGGATATGCTGTATTCCAAACTTGTTACAGAATATACTATTAAGTCATTATGCATGACATAAACTATTTTTAAATGATAATATATTATTTAACCAACTTGGCACTTAGACCCTTTGGAAATACAATGCTTCAATTACGTCCTTGGGACGTACCCAGTATATCCGCTATAATTTTCCCAAATAAGTAAGAGACTGGACGTACCCGAAACTTCGATATAGGTCTAGGACGTTAGGACCTATGTGGGACCCGAAATGGACGCCCTGGGTACCTCTTGTGCTATCTGGGTATGATACAAATTTATTTATTTATCCATTATTTATTTATTTATCCATTAAATCCCAATTTGTTATAATATATGTTATTTCTATAAATAGGTTGGTAGTAATTTTAATCTAGATTTTTTTAAATTTAAAACACATGGTGTACTAAAAATTAGTTTTATTTAAAAAAAATATATACAATAGTAACAACAAATGTCAGTTCATTAGCAATGTCATTAATGTAGAAAATAATAACATCCCTACACAATGTCAATTATCGAAACAGACATAATTTATTTAAATAAATTACAGAGAACCCAAGATTGTTTTATTTAAAAAAATAAATAATACAATTTTTTTAAAAACAATTTGGATCATTTTGCATTCATCTAACGAAATAGCGATAATTTCTTCCCTCCTGGTAATTTTCCCTCCGCGTCTAAAAGGCCAGCTTGAATGTATTCCAAACTTGGCATTTTTCTAAGGTCTCCCCTAGCAGCTACAGACGGTTGTGAGCTAAGCAACCTTTTTGCCACTTCCATTACGTCTTCTTTGGTGACCTTTTCAATCTCGTTTATAAAGAATTGCGGTCTTTTTCGGTGGCCAGTCGCCAAAACCTGTCTACCAATGTCTTCAAACATTACTGGCCTTGACTCAAGATTCATTAGTAACATTGATTGGAGTTGAGTTTTTGCTCTCTAAAAGTAGATAATTACATTTATTTCGACTATACTAATATATTCTTACCCTTAATTCTTGATCAGTAACATTTCCAGTCATTGCAACCATTTCCTTAACAACAATTTCAACCATATCCCTGATATGTGTTGGTGGTGCACTTGCATGAATACAGAACAAACCAGTGTCAGAATAGGAGTGATTATAGGCTGTGGCACTGTACATCCAATGATACCTAAATAAAACAATAACAACATTATACGTTCAGTTAAAAACACTTTGAAAGTAATCTTTTTTTTTACCTATTGAGGACATTTGTGTACAATCTGGTGTACATTCCCTTTCCTGGTCCACCAGCACTGAATGATCCGCCCCCTCCCATCATCATATTAAGCACACACATTGGTATAAAGTCCTTGTCTTGATGGGAACAACCCTCCAAACCGATCATAACATGGCACAAAAGTGGAAGGCCTGCAGAAGCAAACTGTGGTATATCACAATCTTCCTAGAAATAAAACGGATACATTTTTGCTGCCAAATACTAGTTTTATAAGTAACATTTTGTTACCAACATATAAAATAGGGCGCCTGAGTTGTTTTAAGTGCCCTCAGAATCAATTAATACAATGTCCGTTTAAGTATACTATACCTATACAGTGCTTGCAAATCCAAGTCCGACCGCCTTGGAAAGGACGGTTGTTCAATACCCGCGTGAAAAGAATAAGGATAGAATGCCAAACAGAATTTGATTGGTCAGAGTGTCAGGCGTGCGTATTGTAAGCGCCTTCTGTTTGGCGTTCTATCCTTGTTATTTTCACGCGTCCTTCCCAAACCGGTCGGACTTGTGTTTGCAAGCACTGTATAGGGTAATATCCTTTGACGTAATATTTCTTAATTTTAATAGGCACTTAATAAAAATCTTACTAAAATTTAAAACAAGTAAGTAAATACTACATGCATGGAAATACAATGAAATATTGAAAATAAATAATGCATCTCCAGAAGAAGATGGAATAAAAGCAACAGTTTAAAAGCCCTCATGCATACTATCTCCAACGACATTAAAGATAATAAACAATCACACACAAAATTGCACATATCTTAAAAATTGGAAGAATCACCACTATTCATAAGAGGACCAAAATATATAGCCTATAATTATCGCCGAATTACTGTTATATTATACCTGGCTAAAAGATTTAAATCAATCATACTAAAGGCAAGACTACAAAACTACCTTGAAGACGTAGATTTTGACAAGTGTCAACAAAACGGTTTTCTAGACCGGAAGATTAGGTACCCAAACTGCCATCGCCACTGCATTGGACTACAAGATCATAGATAAAAAAAGCAATTCTAGCAATTTTCCTAGACCTATTCAAAGAATTCGACGTTGTGTATGACAAAACTACCAACCCAAACTACTTGGAATAAAAGGAAAAAATCTCCATATAATCGATAGGCGAACAGACAGCAGGATACAACTAGTGATAAAAAACTAGTCCAATACGAAGTCCCGCAAGGCTCAGTCCTAGGTACACTTCTGTTCCTGATATAATAAACGATATTAAAAACTGTAACAATTTACAGCAAAGCACAAAAACATCTTGAAACAATCAATAAATGGACTAAACCAACAAAATCAAGTTTAACGAAAGTAAGTGGGAATATTAGTAGAGGATCCCAAGTAAGGTCGACCTTCACCCATCTGCTTACCAGATGAAAATTATATTTTATCAAATAAAATATGTTTCTGAACATAAACCAATAGGGTTGCCATAAAAAATATGATCATGGCTATAAATTATAGCCTATAATAAATAAAAAATTAAAAAAAATAATTTATTTTTTAAATTTCACCGACTTGCTTGCCAAATGAACGAAATTCCAATGGAAAGCATACAACATACAGAATATGTAACATCTAGGTTGCCTACCTTTTTCTGATCCCTATTACCTGTTTGCTTTGTACAGGGTGATCCCCTATAATGTCGCCCCCCTTTAACTTTTTTATTTTAAGTGTCCCAAAAAATTTAAAAGTTTGGTTATGTAGGTACTAAAAAATACTTTTTTTCTACGTATAAAGAAAATTGGAAAATTGATCAGTATACAGGGAAAAACAAAAAGTTTATTTTTTTTCAATGGATCACCGTATATATGAATTTATTTTTCGATTCCTTGTAAAATTCTGAGCATAATTTATATAACAAACCATATACCTAAATTCAACCGTTTCTGAAATATTCGCATTCGAAATGTCATCATTAAATGTATTTTTAAACTGTTAGAAATCAAGAAGCCTCAGTATACCAAAATTGTTATTGAAAATAAATTACTATAGTGACATTATGTCAATAAGTGTTGTTAAATAAGTAAAAATGGCGTACTCAGACAGAGAAAGACAAACTATTTCAACTTATTATAATAAGTTATATTATAATAAGTTGAAATAGTTTGTCTTTCTCTGTCTGAGTACGCCATTTTTACTTATTTAACAACACTTATTGACATAATGTCACTATAGTAATTTATTTTCAATAAAAATTTTGGTATACTGCGGCTTCTTGATTTCTAACAGTTTAAAAAAACATTTAATGATGATATATCTTAAAAATAATTTAAATATTTCAGAAACGGTTGAATTTAGGTATATGGTATGATATATGAAATATGCTTAGAATTTTACAAGGAATCGAAAAATAAATTCATATATAGGGTGATCCATTGAAAAAAATAAACTTTTTGTTTTCCCTGTATACTGATCAATTTTCCAATTTTCTTTATACGTAGAAAAAAAGTATTTTTTAGTTCCTACATAACCACACTTTTAAATTTTTTGGGACACTTAAAATAAAAAAGTTAAAGGGGGGCGACATTATAGGGGATCACCCTGTACAAAGCAACCAGGTAATAGGGACCAGAAAAAGGTAGGCAACCTAGCTGTTACATATTCTGTATGTTGTATGCTTTCCATTGGAATTTCGTTCATTTGGCAAGCAAGTCGGTGAAATTTAAAAAATAAATTATTTTTTAAATTTTTTATTTATTATAGGCTATAATTTATAGCCATGATCATATTTTTTATGGCAACCCTATTGGTTTATGTTCAGAAACATATTTTATTTGATAAAATATAATTTTCATCTGGTAAGCAGATGGGTGAAGGTCGACCTTACTTGGGATCTTAGACTATATATGACATTTAATAAACCTAACTGAAAATCTATACCAACTTAAGATCAGTGATAAAAAATTGACCAGTTTTGCTATCTTGGAATTACAACTTTAATATACATATTGATAAAATTAGGAACAAAATTAATAGCATAAGCTACCACTTAAAATTTACAATACTACAACAGACAAACAAGAAGATATTAATAGGATACAATTAAAAGTGCTGCACTCCAAACACCATAGGATATATAAAACTGACATCATTATGAATTAAAAGTACTTACTAACAATAAACGAGATGGTAAAACTTAAAATAAAACACAATTTATTCATACAAAAGTAAACCTGAAAACATGACATACTTATACCTCCTAATGCAGCGCAACTCTCCAATGAGGATATGTGAAATGTCAAATAAAATTTGCTTTACATTCTGAAAAAACATTAAGCCCGTATTACAGTCTGCAATTCTACCTGCAATACGCAATAATCTTGCGCGAAGGCATGCGCATAGCGACGTTTCGAGCAAGTGTATTGCCGTTTCAAATTATCGGTCCTGCTCGATTTTTAATGCCACTTGCAGGGTGGAAGAAGAAGGTGATATAATATATGGATTTCGTTGGTAAAACCTTAGGTTCTTAGTTGACTCGCCATCTAACGAACAACGAACGAAATACTGACCTATCTGGACCACAGACCACCAAAACAAATGGACGGCGCATTGCCATTCAATAACAATGCTTTGTTTGCGGTCAACAAACGGTCACAGTCTAAGCGTCAAATTGGAGATAGAATTTTATGTTTTCTTCCAGTGACGTCAACAAACGGTCACAGTCTAAGCGTTAAATTGGCAATAGAATTTTATGTTTTCTTCCAGTGACGTATTGGGATTAAAAAAATAATAAGTAGGTAGGTACTTACAAACGATATTTTCATGTATTGTTATTTTTAGTAAAAAATAATGTATTTAAACTCCATAATTAACTTAAACACGATAGAAATACACAAACGAAAACACAAAACAACAAGCTGTCAACCTTTTTCTATGCTGTCAAATATGACGAATTTACCAACGTTGTTAATATTTAATTTTAATAATTATTAAATGATTTACTTTCTTTAAATAAAGAAAAATATCTAAAGAAAATGATGAACAAATCCTTTTTACATTTTTTTTATTATTCAAACGAATTATTAATAATTATTAATGTTCATTATGTTATGATGAACGTCCTAAAAGGCGTGTAATCTATACTTCTGACAACGTTGGAAGCCGTGTTTCTTTCGACGGTGTTTAGAATGTGAAACTATGCTTTACTCGCTTTTTAAACGTAAACAAATCCGTCCATTTGTTTTGGTGGTCTGTGATCTGGACGCTTGCTTCTGTACTGTATAGATAGGAGATATTATCACCCATAATATAACAAGTGGTATGATTATCATCGATGATATTTTCGAATTGAAACCGAGCTGCAGATTTCACGAGTCCGCAGGACGAGTGAAATGTGCTGCTTCGGTTTTAATGAGTAAATATCATCGATAATTAATCATACCACGAGTTATATTTAGTGAGAAAATATAATGAATTTTAGGATTTAACGAATTTTTAGTTTGACATTTGAAATTAAAATGTGCTTTAAAATATAAAAAGACTTTAATAAACCTTATTTATTCAAACTTACCTTAATTTTATTATCGTTTACACCAACCCATCGATCTTTTAGAGTTTATAATTCATTATTTTATTGATATATATCAAAAACAGAATTTAAATGACAACAGATGTCAAATCAAAAAAACGTCAAAATTCATAGTAACGTGTAAACAAGATGATAAAAATTATTGCCGCTGTGATAAAATACGTCACTATGGAATACTGGCATTTTATTGGTTCTAATATTAATGAATTGAAGGGGTTAGAATAAAAAGGGTATAAGTAACATTTTCATTTTTTGGAGATATTTGAAGTTAAAGTTATGTTACCATAAAAAAGTGAAGAATTTTGTTTAGTAGTAATTTTCTACTGGATAATAGAGGTCCCTAGAAGTATAAAAATTACTTAAATCCTTTTCATTTCGATACGTCGGAACCTTATCTTTCACAAAACGAACTTATCTCCTAAATTAAAGAAATTGCACTTATACCCTTTCTATTCTAACCCCTTCAATTGTATTGTCTCCTCCATATATTTTATAACAACTTAACTTTTAACAACAAATTATAAGATACCGAAAACTCAAGGAGAGTATTCTACCCTCCTTAACGAAAATTACATTTTTTCTTACAGCATTATTATATTAATTTGCAGAACGATTGGCAATACTGTAG